TATATTGCATTAAAGGCAAGGATGACAATGATGAGTACAAAGTGATCACGGTGAAGGCACTTCGAGCACAAAAGAATGTAAATAAAAGGCAAAACAATGTAAAAGCTCTATAAAATCAACGGCTTTAATCATTTGGGTGTAGTGTGTTGGTTGATAAAATGACTAACAGGATTCAGCACTGGGCAACAAAGTGTCTCTCATTTGCGGGAAGAGTGAGTACAGCTAATTCAACCAGTCCTGGGCTCCTTCAATGCAGTTCTACCGGTCTAGTCACTTCATTTTTCCTAAATCTGTTCTAACAGAGATCATAAGGTTACTCAGACAATTCCAATGGTGGTTTAGTGGCTTCGAAATGTATACGTCAACCCCAAAAGAAATATGGTGGTTTAGGCTTTCCTATCTTGGAAACACAAAACAGAACTGCAATTTTAAAACATATGTAGAAACTCATGTTAAATACTCAAAACAGCCTATGACTCAAACATACTTAATCATAAGCAGATATATACCTCAACAAAGCAGTTAGATATAGAGAAAGCTACTTCTAGAGAAAGCCCTTGATCAAAAGCAAAACGGTTCGGAAACTCGCTTCCGGAATCACAATTGGCTGCAAGAAGGCCCTCTCAACCATTTTATTAGAGGTATTTTTCTCTCAGACATATTGTCGAGTACCTATCCCACATACCCTCAATTCCCTTCTCCATCCACTTGGTTCCATATCATCTGTAACCCATTTTCCATTCGGCTAGCGAGGTGCAATTTCATTCGATGGCTTCCCTTTCTTGACAAAAAAAAAAAAAAAAAAAAGCAAAAGCTTTCTTCAAATCCCAAACATTAAATTGTTAGCAAAAGCTTTCTTTAAATCATTAGGCGATGATCACATGTTTTTTTGGGTGTGAATCAATCAGTGTCACACTCAGCAAAGGGTTTTCCATTTTGTAAAGGGAATTCGATTTTCTTCATGGATGAGTATTATTGGGATCAAATGGGTGAGAATGACATATATGGTCATGACACAGGAAGGTTTAACATGGAAAATCAGAGTATACAACTGATTAATGAAGGTGAAGATGATCTGCAGAAGATTGAACCAGCACCAATTTGGGTTTTCCTAATCCATAGTAGTAGAGACATCCTAAGATATGATTTAGCAGACTTGTTTCTTCTTATTTTTGTTTTCTTATGAATTATAATTTTGTGTATTGATACTGGAGGTGAATTTTTGAATTGCATATATATGTAAGTCTGGTCATACTTGTATCTTCAAGCTTATGCTACAGGCTGGTGGTCAATATGTGCTTGAAAATGACCCTCTTTTTAAAAAGTTGTTCGAACTGACAATCCTACAAGACTCAAAAAATTAAAGTCACATTGTCAACTGATAAAATTGACCTCAGACCATTTTTTTCAGAAACCATACAAATGCATCTATCACATTCAAACCATACTGATTCAACTCTTCAGGGGTGTTCAATATAGGAATTTCTGTATTTATCTTTTATTGTTTTCCATTTACCTTTAAAATGATCATTATATAACACAATCTCCTTTTCTATAATTTATTAGAAAATTGTTTGGCATATGAAATAACTGACTCAATCAAATCTTTGTTCTTATGGGCTTCCACTTTTTTTCTTTCAGCAAGTAAATGAATAACAGAATCTCACTTTTATGAGGTTTCATTGATGATTTTTTAATACTTAAGTGACTTCTAGTCATTAATCGGCTTTACGAACATATAAAATTTGACAACTTCAATTATGTAACAGAGTTAGAAAACGTCACCCTAACAACCAAAAAAACAAAAAATAAGGTAGCATCATCAACTGCTGGCTTCAAGGGGTCTGCATAATGATCTTAGACAAAATTAATTAATTATATGCTGATTCTGGTTTTGCCTTCGTCAGGAACTTGACTTGGTTCTTCATTATCAATTAGTGGAGAGGAATGTCCTTTTAAAACTTAATTAACTCATATGATCAGTTAATGGTGAATTTAGCTTAAAATCAGCCTATCAATTAGCTTTGCATCTTAAACAAGAGGCTTCAAAAGATTCTACTTCTAGGGTCAGTGAAAGTAGCAGCAACCAAGATAAGAAACAACAGTGGGTTGCTGTATGAAATCTTAAAGTAAATTTTAAGGTGAAACATTTTATTTGGTGAGGAGAAAGGTGGTGATATGTCCAATTTGTGGGTTGGAACCTGAGTCCTTGTTCACATGTTGTGTAAGTGTCTAGCCATAGAATATACTGTGATTTGATCTAATTTCCTTTCTTGTAATATGAGCATGTGCTCTTTTTAATCTATAATGACTATAGTTGTGAATGAGTGATTGAATCTCATTCAAGCCTTTACACAATTCTCTCCTTTTTTTTTTTTTTCTTTTTATATTTCTACTGCTTCCTTTCTTTTATAATACTAAAAGGGAAACCTGGTGCCTATTACAAAAATCTTTGAGGGCTAACAACATTTACCTAAAATGCGATGAATGAAAACCAAGCTTAAAATGCGATGATGAAAACCAAACTCCATCCACAACAATTTCCCGACCTCCATTTATGCACAATAATAAAAAAAAAAATAGTCACTTAAGGCACGTGACCCTCTATACACTGCAAAATTGGTCACATAAAGGCTCGTGACCCCCTCGAGCATGAGTAAAAAGCATTAAAAATGTGCAATCATAAAAGAATATTATTGAACATAGCACGTATTTTTGTATTGGCTGTTCATAATGTAGATCGAAGCAGGCCAGGACAATTAGTTATTTAACTGGAAAAACAATTTGCAAGTCACCTGATAGCAGTGTGAAAGATGCCCACCATGAGGAAGATCAAGTGCCGTGATTCTTTCATGAGGTTTCAGTAATGCAGTTTATACTTGAAAATTAGCTGGGGAACCGGACAAAGACTGCACGTTCACTGCATCATAAAACGTGATTAGACATTTTAAGAAGCTACCACATCTGTCATACAAAGAAATGGAGGTTTCAGAAATGCGCGCATTCTGTCCCTCTCTGATGTTGGGGGCAGGTAACCATTCTACTTTTGCAACTCTCCTCAAGTTCTTATTAGGACTCCGCTATTAGATCTTCTAAAAGGTTACATGAAATTTTTTTTTTCCTTCATAATTTCAAAACAGTATTAATATTTTTTTCTCATAAAATTTCCTTTGGTAAGAATACTACTAAGATGAACAAGTCCCTCTTTGGATATCAAAATTAATGGTTTCTTTCACTCTTTCTTTTTTCCTTCTAGTGTTAAATAGATATAAAAAATAGGTGTTGAAAAATCCCAAAGAAATAAAAATCACTCAAATCTTTTAATAATATATCCAATGATGTCTGTTAATGCTTTCTTGCCACACATATCATTATGTAATCAGTAATTACCTCCCCATTTTGCAGGATCCAACCGAAATGCTTCCAAAGCACGCTTTTGGCATAAGGATTCTGCCATGTCAATGTACCTGAAATACAAAAATTATCATTCTTTCATAATCAGAATAAATTAAAGAAGAATTGGATCCAGTTTATAATAGCAACTACTGAAACCCAGTGATAAATATATTATGGCCTTCAATAATGACAAGAAAAAATTCTTAAATACAGAATCAGTAAATTAAATACTCACCTGTCCATTGCAGGCCCAGAGAAAAGAGACTATCAGAGTAAATTAAATACCTTTGAAAAATAGAATCAAAAATCTTAATTGACAATATTAAAGTAAAGCCTTAAAACAGTTAAATCATACCCACTACTTGAGATTCAGAAAGCAAACAGGTCAACTCTTTTTTCAGAAGCATGTGATAGTCTACCTCGTGTAAAGGTCTAAAAACTTAATCTAAGAGTTTTTATAGATATAAAAAAATAAAAAGCACATACAACAGACATACTTGAAGCTAAAGTCCCTTAAATGTCGGTAAAGACACATGAAAATTACTCACAGCTGATTCCACTGAATATTCACCACAAAAAAGTCCCAAACAATGTCAATTGATCTCATGGAAAAAGATCATAAAACAAAATTACAAAAAGAAAATCCAAAAATAAGCCTTTAATCTGAAAAGGAAAAACACTAACTTTATGATGTTTTTTTTATGAATAAATCTACTTGAAATTTCAACAGATTTACAGATTTATAATTTTTTTTTTTTAAGAAAATGATAGGCAGATTTTGTTTAAATTTGATATTTAATACAAGCAGAAAAAATAGGGAAAACAATATATACATAATGTCATATATCACAAGAACAGATCTTCATCTGTGAAATTAATGAACCAAAAATGCATAATTTACATTACAAATTAATGAACAGTTTAAAGATTGCAAGTTGGAAAGAGAAAAAGATATATAATGCTAAAAATTAAACAAAAAAGTGAAATAGAAAATGCTAGCTCTTAAAGCAATTGCTTAAACAGTACTTGTACTTCAACAGATTTGAATTGCAATGAATTGATTTTATAGACTTTATGTGAATCTGTTCATACATGTATCTTCAAGCTTATACTACAGACAGGTGACCACTTACAATCCTACAAGACTCAAAAAATTAAAGTCACATTGTCAACTCAGATATCATTGATAAAATTGGCCTCAGACCATTTTTTATTTCAGAAACCATATAAATGCCTGGTAGAAGAAAAAAAGGAGTGCATCTTCTATCACATTCAAACAATACTTATTTAACTCTTCAGGGGTGTTCAATAAAGGAAATTCTGTATTTATCTTCTATTGTTTTCCATTTACCTTTAAAATGATCCATATATAACACAATCTCATTTCCTATAATGCCTTTCTTCTAATCTATAATTTGGCATATGATATACTGACTATATCAAATCTCACACTTCTAGGGATTCACTTTTTTCTTTCAGCAAGTAAATAAATAACTATATAAAGAATCTCACTCTTATGAGGCTTCATTGATGGTTTGGTAATCCTCAAGTGCCTTCTAATCATCATTTGGCTTTACGAAAGTATAAAATTTGGCATCTGCAAGTATGTAACAGAGTTAGAAAACGTCACCATAGCAATCAAAAAAAAAATCCAAGGTATTACCATACACTAATAGCTTCAAGGGGTCTGCATAATGATCTTAGTCAAAATATAAAAAAAAATAAAAAAATAAATTGAAAAAATTATATGCTGATTTTGGTCTTGCCTTTGGGTGTCTTAATAATACCAGAGTTACCTTCATTGGGAACTTGACTGGGTAGTTTATTATCAATTAGTGGAGAAGAATGTCCTTTTAAAACTCAATTAACTCATATGATCAGTTCATGAAAAAGCTAAATTTGAAAACTGTAAAAATGGAGATTTGAAAATAATGAGAATAGAGATAGAGAGAGAGAGAGAGATGGCGAGAGAGTCTCAGCCCATATTTTCCATACATTCTTAACCCTAAAACATAAAGGGAGTTATATACAATACAATAAAGGCCTAATTACATAATGGCCACAAACCCTATATCTAATTACAATAAGACCCCAGCATAAATACACATACACATATAAGTGTTTCAACACTCCCCCTCAAGCTAGAGAATATATATCATATAATCCCAGCTTGGAACAAATTATTTTTAACCGATTATGACCAAGAGCCTTAGTAAACATATCCGCTAATTGATCTTCAGACTTCACGAATGGAGTAGAAATGTTTCCACTTAATATTTTCTCTCGAGTGAAGTGACAATCAACTTCAATGTGCTTGGTTCTTTCATGAAAAACCGGATTGGATGCGATGTGAATAGCTGTTTGGTTATCACAAAACAGTGGAATAGGATTCTTGACTATTAACCCAAGTTCTTCAAGAAAATGTTATATCCACGTTAACTCACTAGAGATATGGGCCATCGCCCTGTACTTTGCTTCAGCGCTAGACCGTGCTACAACTGTTTGCTTCTTACTTTTCCATGTAACAAGGTTTCCACCAATAAGTGTACAATAGCCTGTAGTAGATTTCCTATCTGAGGGAGAACCAGCCCAGTCAACATCTGTGAAACCTGTCACATTAAGATGACCATTAGGTTTATATAGTAATCCAAAACCTGGAGCTTGTTTGAGATATCGAATAATTCGAAGAACAGCATTCCAATGTGGTACTCTAGGAACACTCATGAACTGACTTACAACACTAACTGCATATGAAATGTCAGGTCGGGTGATAGTGAGATAAATTAATTTACCAACTAGACGTCGATATCTACCATGATCGTCAAATAAATCAACCTCATCAGGTAATAATTTTATATTTGGGTCCATAGGAGCATCAGCAGGGCGAGTACCTAACATACCTGTTTCTTTTAACAAGTCCAACACATATTTTCTTTGAGATAGACTTATACCTTCCTTAGATCTAGCAACCTCAATACCCAAGAAATATTTGAGTTTGCCTAGATCCTTTGTGTGAAACCGATTCTGTAAGAACAATTTTAACTTTGCAATGCCGTCAGAATTATCACCTGTTATAACAATATCATCTACATATACCACAAGAAATATAAAGCCAGTTTTAGTATGTTGGTGAAATACCGAATGATCTGTCTCGCATCTGTTAAGGCCAAAGGAAAGTACCACCTCGGAGAATTTTCCAAACCAAGCCTTTGGAGATTGTTTCAATCCGTACAGGGCCTTTTTAAGCCGACATACAGCATAACGAGACTCCCCTTGAGCAACAAATCCAGGTGGTTGCTCCATGTAAACCTCTTCATGTAAGTCACCATGTAAGAAAGCATTTTTCACATCTAATTGAAACAATGGCCAATTACGATTGGCGGCAATAGAAATAAGGATTCGGATAGAAGAAATCTTCGCAACAGGAGAAAAGGTCTCGTCATAATCAATACCATAGGTTTGTGTGTATCCCTTTGCAACAAGGCGAGCCTTCAATCGCTCAACAGATCCATCATGGAGATATTTGACAGTGTAGACCCACTTACAACCAACCGTTTTGGAACCGGGGGGTAAGGAAATAAGATCCCATGTCCCATTATGATGAAGTGCATCCATTTCATCTATCATGGCTTTGCGCCAAGCTGTATCAGATAGAGCATCCTGCACAGTTTTTGGAACAGCAGTAGCAGATAACGTGGATAAAAAAAAGAAGATAAGGGCGATACCTTTTTATAGGAAACAAAGTTAGATATGGGGTGTGCAGTGACACATGAGCGAACACCCTTACGTAATGCAATAGGAAGATCATCAGTAGCAGGAGGAGCCTCAATGGAAGTAGACAATTGGGGGGGGAGGGGGGGGGGGGGGGGGCTACTCGTGATCGACTGCTGTACACTTGAAGTGGCGGTGGCACATGAGGTGATTATGGTGGGTCACAGGGTAATGAATGTGACACAACAGGCAACGGAAACAGTAGCTCGGTATCTAAAGACGAATTATGTGAAGAAAAATAAGGAGTATCCTCAAAAAAGGTAACGTCCATGCACACAAAAGCCTTACGAGTGCTAGGATCCCAACACTTATAACCTTTTTAAGTCCAAGAGTATCCAATAAAGACACACTTAATGGCACGAGGGCGTCATATGTGAGCAAAACACACACACCCAAAAACACAAGGCGGTAATGCAAATAATGGTCGAGTAGGAAAAACAAAGGAATAAGGACATTTCCAATTAAGAACGGAAGATGGTATACGATTAATTAAATAACAAGCAATTAAAACAGCATCGCCCCAAAATGCTTTTGGAAGATGCATATGTATCATCAATGTACGAGCTATTTCAATTAAATGCCTATTTTTCAGTTCAGCTACGCCATTTTGTCGGGGAGTATAAGAACAAGAAGTTTGGTGCAAAATACCACGAGAGTCGCAAAAACTAGAAATAGCACCTTTGACATACTGCATAGCATTATCAGATTGTAAAGTGCGTATAACACACCCAAATTGGACCTCAATTTCTTTTTAAAATATTTGAAATATGGAAAACAGTTCAGAATGGTCGTTTATTAAAAACAACCAAGTCATCCTTGAATAATCATCAACAAAGGTAACAAAATAAGAAAAACCTGAGTGACTAGTGTCACAAGCGGGACCCCAAATGTCCGTATGAACTAATTCAAATAAAGAAGACCGACGATTAACAATACGAGGAGGGAAAGGCAGTCTATGGTGCTTACCCAACTGACAAGATTCACAATTTAAAATAGACACCGACTCGAGGAAGGGCAAAGCAGGCTTCAAATACTGCAATGAGGGATGACCTAACCGATAACGCCACTGGTACATAGACATCTGGGAATGTAAAGCAACAGTGGAAGGTTTGCAATCCAAATAGTATAGGCCATTTCTGTTACTGCCCCCACCAATCGTCTGTTTCATGTTGAGGTCCTGAAAGACACAAGACGAAGGATAAAATGTGACAAAACAGTTCAGAGCTTGAGTCAATTTACTTACAGATAATAAATTAAAGGGAAAATTTGGAACTAATTGCACAGAGGATAAAGAAATGGATGGGGTTAATTTAATTGTTCCCTGGCCAATAATGGAACATGTTCTACCATCAGCCAGAGTAACAAAAGATGAAGAACTAGACTTCTGAAAATTAGAAAATAGAGAGGCATCACCTGTAAGATGGGTAGAAGCCCCTGAGTCAATAACCCAAGGGGATGCTGAAGTCTGTAAATCGGATAAACATGCAATATTACTTGATTGCGCAAAATTAACTACATCAGTAGAGTTGGGATGTGTCCGGTTGACCAATGCACTGAACTCAGCTCGTGATAGTGATAGTGTCACAGTGTCACTAGTAGATGCAGGTGATGGTAAAACAGAAGTCTGACCAAAAGAGGGATGAGACCCCGCAAGGTCAGAGGAAGACACTGCTTGATTTGCCCATGCTGGTTTCCCATGAAAAGTCCAACAGTTCTAAACAGAATGGTTAGTACCCTTACAGTGGCTGCACATACGAGTGTCACTACGTCCACAACCACGGCGACTGCGACTTCTATCACGGCCACTACCGCCACGAGAACTACCTGAATTTCCACCATACCCTCTGTTGCCACTAGGAGTATCACCTGAATTTCCACCATACCCTCTGTTGCCACTAGGATTATCACGACCTCGTGAGGACTGTGGAAAAATAGAAGGAATCATCATAGCTGAATTTTCTTTCACTCCAGTGGGCGTCACACGTGATTGTTCTGAAACCCTAAGTAAGCGGGAATAAATGTTACCCAAAGATGGGAGTCCTCCATCACCCGCAAGAATTTGGTCCCGAATATTATGAAGGTTCGGGTGCAAACCAGCAAGAAAAATGGAAACAGAAAATTCCTCACGTTGTCACTTGAGAACATCAAGATCAGTAGTCAAGGGGTGGTATTGATTTAACTCATCTAACAGCCTTTTGAAATTATTGTAATACTCACCAAGGCCTTGACCAGAGAAGTCAGATTGACGTGAATGAAATATCTTTTCATACAATGAATATATGCGAGAAACATTTGTGTCCTTAGAATAAGTTTCTTTAACTGCATCCCAGATTGCCTTGGCAGTGTTGACAAACATAAATGTGGCTGCAATTGAAGGTTCCATACTGTTCCACAACCAGGACATAACCATATAGTTATCAGTTTCCCACTCCTCATATGTTGCTGATGTTTTTGATGGAGGATCAGTTGTAATAAACTTCAGCTTTCGTCGGGCACCTAAAGAAATCTTTACTGCTTGAGCCCATAGTAAGTAATTGGAATTACTTAATTTCATAGATGTAATTTGCAGCCCAACAGGATCAACATATGTTGCAGAAGATTTAACTCCAGTTGACCCAGAAGCAACATTTGAATCGTCCGGCATGGAGATTTGAAAATGAAAAGAAAAAAGAACTTATCTCCGCCAAGTCAAGATGCCAAATCTGTACCGAGGAACCAAAGAAGCTGTTGCACCTGAGAAGGCCAGACCAGAGTTGAACCGGGAACAAAAGAAACAGACCGGGTAAGTAAATCAAGTCGGATCTTGAATAGGGTTTAACGTGTCGGATCTTGAATCGGGTCGGACGGTTCGTATCTTGAATCGGTCCGGACCTTGAATCGGGTCAAACGGGCCGGACCTTAAATCGAGTCAAACGGTTCGGACCTTAAATCGGGTCAAAAGGTCTAGACCTTAAATCGGGTCGGAACAAATCCTGTTTATATTAACCTGGATTAGGATAGCGAGCACCCTGTAACCAAACACCATTCGTCTCTCAGCTTTCTGGCAAGCACGCAACGGTAGTGGCAGCAACGATGGAATCAACAAGCAGCGATGCACCTCGTGACAGCCGTCGGTGACCAAACAACGAGTAGCAACGACGACGACAGTCGCCGGTGACCAAGCAGCAAGCAGCGACGGCAAGAGAAGGCGGTGAATTCGTTGACAACTGAAACGACAACAAAACGCGAGTAACCAAACTGGGTTTCAGATCTGAGACCAAGCAACGAGCAATGAGCAGCGACGACAAGATAAGGCGGCGAGCTCGTCGACAACCAAAACGGCACCAACACTACCGTCACGAGCTCTGAACAGATCTGCAGATCTATACAAGAACAATACAATTGCGATTTCCCACACTCACAATTTCGATCCGCTCTGATACCATGTAAAAATGGAGATTTGAATATAATGAGAATAGAGATACAGAGAGAGAGAGAGATGGCGAGAGAGTCCCAGCCTATATTTTCCATACATTCTTAACCCTAAAACATAAAGGGAGTTATATACAATACAATAAAGGCCTAATTACATAATGGCCACAAACCCTATATCTAATTACAATAAGACCCCAGCATAAATACATATATACATATAAGTGTTTCAACAAAAACTATTGATAATGAGCTATGTTACGTAAATGGAAAATCAACACTGACTAAACTATGGCAACCCAATTTATTGGTCAAGTGGTATCACCAATAAAGTCTACTTTAACATGTTAAATGTATTAAACTCCTAAATTAGTTGGCTAACTTATCTTAATACTAGCATTTTTCATGCTTGTACACAGATTAGAAG